AACCGAAGTCCCTCCGCAGACCCAGAGGCTCCAGAGTATAAGTTCTAAGGTCTCAAGTATAGTTACAGCAGCTGCCCCACCCTTCAAACCGAAACGCATTACTGCTTCACGGCAGAAATAGGCAGGGCGGTGGTACCTACCCGTGCGGACTCACAAGAGGTCCTACCACCAGTGATTTTCGATGAAAGCTTTAACGATTATACAAGATAATATAAAAAAAAAATTGGGTATTTATTTAAAGAAAATATAATTCAGCTATCTTAATTAAATCACTAATAATATTTATATGTTATATATGTTTTATACAAAAAAATAAAGCACAGAAAAACAGACAATGAAAATTTTAAACAAGGACAAAAACACGACCGTTCTTCTTTCTCATATAGGAAGCTTCGTTTCGAAACGCCCTTTGTCATTCAACATGAAACGTTATATAAAAATAACTAGTATCCAATAAAATACGAATAATCTAAAACAACGATATCTGTATCTTGATTATAATTTTCAAGGTTTTTTTTTTTTTTTTTTTTTTTTTTATTGCCCTTGTAGGCAGACGAGCATACGGCCCACCTGATGGTGAGTGGTTACCGTCGCCCATGGACTTCAGCAATGCCAGGGGCAGAGCCAAGCCGCTGCCTACCGCTTAATACTCTCCACAAGCCTCGTTTGAAGAAGGATATGTCATAGCGCTCGGGAAACACCGTGGAGGGGAGCTCATTCCATAGCCGGATGGTACGTGGCAAAAAAGACCTCTGGAAACGCACTGTGGATGACCGCAGTGGCTCCAGGTAGTATGGATGAACTCTACTGACTCTTTTGTACTACGAAAACAATACGATAAAAGAAACGCGCTAGACTATCGATCGCGATTAACTGCTTGCGAAATATATATCTGTTTTTTTTATTGCTTAGATGGGTGGACGATCTCACAGCCCACCTGTTGTTAAGCGGTTACTGGAGCCCATAGACATCTACAACGTAAATGCCCCACCCTTTAAACCGAAACGCATTACTGCTTCACGGCAGAAATAGGCAGGGTGGTGGTACCTACCCGTGCGAACTCACAAGAGATCTTACCACCAGTATAATACTGGTATAGTACTGTTTAATACTAACATACTATAAGGAGACGTTTAAAAGGTTATAAAATATTTTTTATACTTGACGATATTCCGGCTGACTGACTGCGGCGGCTGGTGATTTTGAGGTAGTTCATCCAAAAGTATTGTTATAAGGTTTTTTGTTTCTCATTTCTCGCAAGACACACATGTTAAACTGCAGGCCTGTATAGTCTAAACTTAAATCCCTATTAGAATAATTATGTCCACTCTCATATTACATATTTCACAAATTATAAAATACTAGCTGACCCGGCACACTTCGTGGTGCCTCAATCGATAAATAAAAGACCTAAACTTTTGTATAAAATAAACTTAAAAAAAACAAAAAGAATCCGCCCGACCAGGGACAGATCAAAGAAAAAACAAAATTGTTTGTTTTTATATATAATTCCGATCATTTTCATATTTTTTCACCTTTTAAACCTTCTTTGGACTTCCACGAATAATTCAAGACCAAAATTAGCCAAATCGGTCCAGCCGCTCGCGAGTTTTAGCGAGTCTAACGAACAGCAATTCATTTTTATATATATAGATAGATAGATTTTGTAAAATTATTAAACATAGAACGACTCGACGGATTTCTGTGTCGGATAGTAACAAAAACACATTGTTTGCCACGTGTTACGCGTTTGAAACGCACGCTGAATGCTAAAAGGGTCTCAAGTTCGGTTCCAGAGAACCTTGGCTTCCATACTGGGACCATTTTATTGTTTGTCCAGTATTCGTACTTTTTATCCTCGATGAGTATCTGAGCCGTCTTAGCTTAAGATTTAACCATTTAGCCCTTTTTGTTCATCAAAAATATTACAATTACAAAGTAAATAGACTGTTGATTATTTTTATCGAAACATTAGAAGGCACCCCATTGCGTTCAGCCGCCATTGATAGGTTTCAAGATATTCCGCGTCTTTTGCGTCATTCGTCGCAAATGAACAAAAGACATAACGCAATTATTCTTTCTTTTCTCTGACATAGTGCTGAATAAAGCTCATATAACTTCAACAAGTCTTACGCATCATATCGGCAAATCAGATCACTTGACAAACGTCACATAGCAGGTAGTGTGCGAAAGAGATAGCGCTCTACGAAGCCGAAATTAGGCGACGGTCTCTTTCCAAAGGTCGATGTGCAATATTTATGACTGGGTACTGCACATGCTCGTTCATAACTAATTAAGAATTAGGCGTATATTTAATTCGACAAGACAATGCAATGGCAATTACAAAGCAAACTAAAAATACTAGATTCCATCATAAAAGCACGAATCGGTCAAGCTATTCCGATTCTACACGTTTATTGTAAGACTATAAAATACTTAGGCAAACAATAAGCTTTATTGCCAGCCTACGCCATAAACTGCGATGAGTCCAGTACTAATTAGGTTGTAGTCATAAAGTTATTATATTCACTGTTTATTAGTTCAAATTGCATTTGTGCAATTCCAAAGTAAATGTTTCAATGCGGATGTAAAGTGAAAATCAGCTTACAATTAGTGTACGGGCATTAATAACTGAAATTAAAAGCTATTTTATTTCTGGTAATCTTCAATTATAATTCTCAATAAAATGGCGTGTCACTGTCGAAACTTCTAGAGAGTTTTTAAAACAAAAACGAGGCTATCATCACGCGTGGTCTTGTTCAAATTCGCCATACTGGTAAACCTCCTACAATACTACATAGTTACACACTTTTGAAATCAAATAAACGCTGAATCGATAAAATAAAAACAAAACAACATCACTCTTCATTTTCCCGCCAAGAAGTCTTGTTAATAAATGTTGCCATCCGTAAATAAAGTAACAGTTCGAAATACTAATAAACATTTAATAATAGACAAGGATTATATGAAAGGGATTTCCTTTCATAAATGGAACTTTGATGTTCCGTATCCGACATCGCGCTGGAGTCGTAGACGCATCGGGATAAATGCTATCCCGCCTTCAAAACAAGCGATCGGTTCGCAGGACGACGGTACCACGAGAAATTGCCAATAACTTTCCAGCCAGTACCATACTAAATCTAAGCTCAGTCGAACAAATGTAGCGAAAAGAAACACGGATAGACATTTTTTAAACAACACTAAAAACTCCTTATTCGCGCTTCCTACATTCGCGTTTTCACTATTCACGGATTAAAAAAGTGCCACCCAATACCTATATTCGCGGATAAAGATTTCTTTATTCGCGGATCTAATCGTACATATCGGTTAATAATAAGGATTCCAATATGCAGATATCCAACCGAATATCTTTTGTAAGCGCGCTTTTCGACATTCTGTGCGTGTGTTTGTCACTGAACTCTTCCTAAACGGCTGGACCGATTTTAATGAAATTTTCTGTGTACCTTCAGGTGTAAGGTATTCGAGAATGGTTTAGATTTACAAATCAGCCTGGCAGATGGCGCTGCAGTCGGTATCTAGGTTATTTACCTTTCCTAGAAATAGTTCATAAACAACGTTTGCCGGGCCAGCCAGTTTACTATATAACTCGCCAATAAATAGCTTTTACTGTATTAAATAACACTATACACAATTCACTCTTACGAGCACACACGAAATTTTGTAACAAGAAACATTTAAGATCTTGAAAGCATGACTGATGGTTAATAAACAGTATATACTAAGGACCGTTAGGTTGTTCCAGAAAAATAATATTTTTATATCCTTGTTGAAACCAAGATTTTGAAGAATTCCTAAATTATCTGTGCCCCTGATGATGTCCATTAATGGCGGTCATCCGTCAACTGGGCGACGAGTTCGTCTTTATTTGATAGCAAGAAATTGACGTACAGTTATAAGTTGAGTAGCGAGATATGAACTGAATTCACCGGTAGATCAGCAGTTTCACGGGTGGACAACTCAACAAATGTTCACGATTGACTTCCACGGTGAAGGAATAACATCGTGTAATAAAAATGAAACCCGCAAAATTAATCGTAATCACTGGTGGTAGCACCTCTTGTGAGTCCGCGCGGTTAGGTACCACCGCCCTGCCTATTTCTGCCGCGAAGCAGTGAAGCGTTTCGGTTTGAAGCCGTTGTAGCTATTACTGAGATCTTAGAACTTACATCTCAAGGTGGGTGGCGCATTTACGTCGTAAATGTCTATGGGCTCCAGTAACCACTTAACACCAGGTGGGCTGTGAGCTCGTCCACCCATATAAGCAAAAAAAAATTTAATCAAAGAGTAGCAGGTTAAGTACTGGAGGAAAAATGGCTACCAGCATGCTTCTAGTTGATGTTAGAGCTATGTTTTTTTTTCTTTACTAGATAGCAATAGATAGATGAGGTCACAGCCCACTTGATACTAAGTGGTAACCTGCATTCTGGTTACGAAGGCTTATTCTGTTAACATAGCTTATAACTAGGATTACAAACCAGTATTTTTTTTAAATCAAGATGCGGATATGTTAGTTAACTTTAACTATGTTTGATTGGTGATTTAATAAAACCCGGTCTTAGACTATCAGTCTCGACAAAGTTTTGTTTCGATTATCGTAATATACAACACATACTTCGAAGGAAGATACATCGTCAGATTGTTTTAAATCGATGTTAATAATGCGAATAGGATATTGAGATAATAGTGTCCTATACATAATTAATATGGAATCTATGGTTGATTAAGACTTGACGTATTAATTAAAACAATGAATATGTCATTTAAACAATAGGAACATGAGTTATAAATTATTCAACTACATTATTAATATATAAAAGTAATAAAAAAAAAATTTTTTTTCATATCAAACTTATAGTCCCGTAAACAATACCGGGAACACATGAGTCACTATTTCTTATGAAACTTATTATCGTCTCATTTCAAAAAATATATATAACGTGTTCTAAATTTAATTACATCTTAAAATAACAATTCCTTACCTTAGTGGAATGAAAACAATCCTGCCGTGGATTATATCCCAATATTAAATAAAACAGTTTTAAAACAGTTCACCAAAACGGTCACCGGAATACACAGAACACAGTCACCGAAAAATAATATCGGGATAAAAACGTTATCGATTTATTACAATTAGAATAAACGACGACACGTCCTAACGCCGCGAGCTTTGAAGCAAGACTGAAGAAAGAAAATTGCTGTAGCTTTCAGCGTTGCGCCCGCGTTCTTCGCTACGAAAGCCATAGATATACATCGAATTCATTCTCACTCGAATTTCTTTATATCGCTGTCTCTTTCTACGGGCATGTCGAAGGAAAATTAAGGGAAACTTTAACGAAGTCTTAACGGTACATTACATAATAGTACGTTTTGCATTATGATTTATTTTGTCCGTCTGATTAATTTTGTTTTGTTAATGTTGGCACTAGTTCAATGATTCGTACGGGATCGCGCTCGTAAAGTGGGGCAGACATTCTTGTTAATTTTTAAAACGCAGTTTGTTCGAAATTTGAACTGCCGCCTACATTATGTTGTTATGTTTTTTTTTTACTCTTCATTTGTGTCTATTGATTGTTTTTTTTTAGTATTGGCATCATTTTTATGGCGCGAATTTATTGTACTGACTTGTACTTACGTACGAAAATGTGTTCGAATTTCCTGTACGTGTATTAATGCGTAATGAGTAGAGTACGAGGAAGCTGCCTTCATCTCGTATTACCGAGAAGACGAAAGCGTTCCACGTACTAAATGGTTTCCGTGATTTCTCATGAAACGTAATAAGATCAACATTTTTAAATACGTACGTTTTGGATATCCGAATGTGCTCAGTTTAAGCAATGATTTATCTTATGTTATGTATTGGTTAGAGTTAAATCAAACGATCACCGACTATACCGACCCGTAGATCAGTATTCTAAAGCAAGTAGTTAAACCAGGAAAATTGTTAAGTACTCAAAACGTCGGATATAATATAGTGAGAATAAAAACTCAAAGTTAAAAATTTATGTTACGTCGTTCGATTGAAAAAAAAAAACTCCCCTACTATTTAAATCACTCAATGTTCGATCAATCAGTGCGGAGTCGATACACGAATAGGGCAACGAATTAGTTCTTAAATACGTCGCGCAAGTATCCGCTTCCGGTACTAAATTGTGGCCAACATGGCGGCACGCGTCGTAGACGGCCGTTTTTTTTTTTTTGGGGAAATTTCCTTTTTTTTTAATCGCTGGGCTTAGTTGGCTGTCAAAGTTTAGTTGGTTGTATATTTTCATTTTATTAGTTTATTAACCTGCAGCTAAATCGTTAATTGTTTGCTATGATCCTTTAAAACGACGAAAGACAAAAAATAAATTATACTCCTAAACATTTTTTTCAAACGCGAATTTCGTTAGTATTGATGGCGTATCAACGTATTTTAATACCGGTTGTAGAATATTCATTTATTTATCCACTTAATTTGTTATAATAATAGTTCCATTTTTGTGTATTTATGAGGCTGAATCTCATGAAGACAGGAAAGGAGAGGTAGCGAAAAACGTACCATCAAAAATATTTTCCTTCGCTCGTTGTGGTAAAGAGAGTGCTCCCATAAATTCTCGACGGGTCTTTCGACCTACATAATAAAAGTTTTTTTTTTTTTATTGCTTAGATGTGTGGACGAGCTCACAGCCCACCTGGTGTTAAGTGGTTACTGGAGCCCATAGACATCTACAACGTAAATGCGCCACACACCTTGAGATATAAGTTCTAAGGTCTCAGTATAGTTACAACGGCTGCCCCACCCTTCAAACCGAAACGCATTACTGCTTCACGGCAGAAACAGGAGGGGCGGTGGTACATACCCGTGCGGACTCACAAGAGGTCCTACCACCAGTAAAGAAAAGTATAGAAAACATCCTATTTATAAAATGTAAACTCAACGCTTGCCCATAATACTGAAGTGCTATAATTACCCCTGAATTATCCACACGATAATGCACAGTTACAGTTCCAGACAACGACGTAATCGTTTTATTTCAGGGAAAACGTCACTGGTAGAACAACTGGAGTACTGCTAAATATAATCTTCCTGTAACATTAGGAAGGTATGCACAAAACAAATTCGTGGTGATAAAATAATTGAAACTAAAGCATCTATATATTAATACGTGAAGCAAAAACTTTGTATCCCTTTTTACGAAAATTGCGCGGACGGAGAAGTATGAAATTTTCCACACTTATAGAGAATATAGAGAAGAAGTGCACAATGCTAATATTTTTTTAAATAATGCATAAAAGATACATTAAATCGATAAAGAAAACATTACACACACTACATACCATGTATTTGACGCACACACGCATGCATACTATTTATTGTCAAACTTTTGTTCTTGACGTCTGTTGTCAAATTGAGAATAGATTAAATATTGTTTGTCTTTGTTAATATTTTTTATAGTGTAGTCTTGGCGAAATTTGTGATTATAGAAGTATAAAATACAATCATAATAGTGTACAAACTTACAATTCCAATTAATTATAGTCGAATTTCGACTACTACGGGACCTCTAGTTGTTATAACACGTTACTGACATATCTGGAGTAATGGCTAAATGCTTTACATAATGCTTCAAATCTTATTCTAACCGTCTATTGGTGCTGTAATTTAGCTTGGTAGTTTTTTTTATTGCGTAGATGGGTGGACGAGCTCACAGCCCACCTGGTGTTAAGTGGTTACTGGAGCCCATAGACATCTACAACGTAAATGCGCCACACACCTTGAGATATAAGTTCTAAGGTCTCAGTATAGTTACAACGGCTGCCCCACCCTTCAAACCGAAACGCATTACTGCTTCACGGCAGAAACAGGAGGGGCGGTGGTACATACCCGTGCGGACTCACAAGAGGTCCTACCACCAGTAAAGAAAAGTATAGAAAACATCCTATTTATAAAATGTAAACTCAACGCTTGCCCATAATACTGAAGTGCTATAATTACCCCTGAATTATCCACACGATAATGCACAGTTACAGTTCCAGACAACGACGTAATCGTTTTATTTCAGGGAAAACGTCACTGGTAGAACAACTGGAGTACTGCTAAATATAATCTTCCTGTAACATTAGGAAGGTATGCACAAAACAAATTCGTGGTGATAAAATAATTGAAACTAAAGCATCTATATATTAATACGTGAAGCAAAAACTTTGTATCCCTTTTTACGAAAATTGCGCGGACGGAGAAGTATGAAATTTTCCACACTTATAGAGAATATAGAGAAGAAGTGCACAATGCTAATATTTTTTTAAATAATGCATAAAAGATACATTAAATCGATAAAGAAAACATTACACACACTACATACCATGTATTTGACGCACACACGCATGCATACTATTTATTGTCAAACTTTTGTTCTTGACGTCTGTTGTCAAATTGAGAATAGATTAAATATTGTTTGTCTTTGTTAATATTTTTTATAGTGTAGTCTTGGCGAAATTTGTGATTATAGAAGTATAAAATACAATCATAATAGTGTACAAACTTACAATTCCAATTAATTATAGTCGAATTTCGACTACTACGGGACCTCTAGTTGTTATAACACGTTACTGACATATCTGGAGTAATGGCTAAATGCTTTACATAATGCTTCAAATCTTATTCTAACCGTCTATTGGTGCTGTAATTTAGCTTGGTAGTTTTTTTTATTGCGTAGATGGGTGGACGAGCTCACAGCCCACCTGGTGTTAAGTGGTTACTGGAGCCCATAGACATCTACAACGTAAATGCGCCACCCAGAAATAGGCAGGGTGGTGGTACCTACCCGCGCTGACACACAAGAGGTCTTAGCACCAGTAAAGATGGCCGATGGCCGCAGAACCGATGGCCATTAGAGCAGACGAGTTCTAGACTGAAGACCACGTACTGGTAAGGGCAGCGTTGGGCGTCCCCCTACCCGGTGGACTAATGACTTGAGGCGATATGCTGGAGAAGCTTGGATCCGGAAGGCGGAGGACCGTTCATCGTAGCGGACTATGGGAGTGGCCTACATCCAGCAGTAAAGAGATACAGACTGATGATAATGACGATGATGATGATAGTCTGTCAATAACCGGCGTTTGAGAAGAGAACACTTGTTCAAGACAGGACTCAAAAAGGTTAAGGTTTGGCTTATAAACCTTCGATAACTTACTATGAGACAGAGGGTACTTTAAATCTGCAAACTAAAGCAATACAGACTTTTGATCATTTCAATACAAAGCAAAAGTTATTTTCCAATTATATTTCTTCCACCGCGCTGCACTGTCTCAAATAACTCTTGTGAAATAATCTCGGCGTATATCAAAACATATATCGCAAGGATATTTACACAGTACGGGATAAGTTCTTTATATGTGTTACCAGCTAATTCTTGGTTCGGTAACGAAGTGAAATGTAAATCTCCACACCGCATAAATTATTCGTATCTATACTGTAGTGTGACCATGAACTAAATGTCAATTATAAGAAAAGAAAAAAAAATGTTAGGACTTTCTAATCAAAATTCGATTCGAATTTCAAATTTAATATTTATCTACTACTTTATTTTTGTTGATAAAGTGTTTAGTAATAACTCGAGCAAAACCATAGTAAAATTATTAAAACTAAATTCGAGCCTTTATTAAACCTAACAGTGAGTCCCTTTGCACTAACAATCTAGACTCTCGCAAATTATTAAACAAAATGTAAAATGGATTTCCAATTCGGATCGTTTCATTTTTAGTTTAACCTGTATCTATATAACGAATTTTTTCTTGTTTCCCTACTTAATAGATGGTAGCCTCCCGCTGAGTTTCTCGCCGGATCTTCTCAGCCGGTCGCGATTCCGAACCGGCAGTAGATTGATTCGCGAAGCAGTTTCTCTGGAGATGTTAGGTCTCCTATGGAGATGCAAATCCCACCCCTCCTGGCTGAGCCTTTGTTTGCCCACCTGTCCTGGTGTAACTGGAAAGGCCTCTAGGCTACCAGTAATCCCACAAACATAAAAAACTGGTAGTCTAAGGATCTATTCCAGCTACGCTCGGACAGATAAGTGAACTTACGGGGCTCAACCTGAGGAAATTGCTAGCTATATTGGCTTGGCTGAATCTACTACCATATTGGAATCTCGACCCCCCCCAAACACCCGGCGAGAAATCCAGT